GGGAGGCAATGCAGCGGCGAACATATGGAGAAGTTCATTTTGAGCTTCCAAAAATGATGTGAATGTGTTGCAGCCAGGTTAGCTGACATTTAAACCAAATAAGAACTTACTTATTAATATCGCTCTCCCTTTCCCACCTCCCACTTTACTAAACAAAACAACCCTGCTGCCCCCTAACCTTCAGCCTTTGTGCCTGCTGGTAACACTCACATCAATAGTTTGGAAGAACTGCATCCAATTCCACAGATGAACATACACACAACTACAGGCATTCATGTGTAGCGTGTTATTTGTTGTGAGAACATGAGGGGTACGAATCTATCTCTTTGCAAACAAGAAGAGGCACAGGGTTTATGATTACTGTCACGGGGCACTTCTGACTATGGATCAGCATGCACATGTGAGAGAGTGCACACATACAAATATATGAAGCATTACACATTACTTTTCTTTTTTCCCTCTTACATGACATCGGGATGAAACAGTTAAATTTACTTTGTTGCAATAAATCTTGAGTGTGTACGTTTTTGTATTTACATCCTTGGTTATGGTCAAAATAAATGTAATGTAAATGAAATTAAAATCAAATCAAAACAGAGAACATATAAAAATACATAACATAGTATTGCACCTTGCAGATGGGCAATATATATTCTCAGTTTTGTTGGTTGTTTGTAACGTCTATGTGACACCACTATGCTTTCTGCTGGTGCGTGGAAGTTAGGTTGTGGGTGCCGGGCTCAGGTCCAGCCCCCTCCTGTCAGCTACATTCAATACCATAAAACACTCAGCCATTACAAAAGTTATAATCCCTCAGTCTCTGGGCCTTTCACAGTTTGAGTTTACTGTCTACAGACTGTGCCTTTAAGTTGGATAAGTGCTCACATTAGCAGATGATCTCTAATGTCTTCTCATGTTTGTGTTGCATCTCCCGTCATCTGAGAACCAAATCAATAAGATAGAAAGCACAAAAGCTTGAGGGAAGAGTTCTTTTGTAACTTCTACTGATGCGTACACAAGAGCACATATTATCTAAACATACACATATTTTTTAAATCTATATATGCATCTCTGAACTTTCACATGTGCCTGCAAAATATGACTCCTCCCAAGTTCCTTTGAGTTTTGTGTTGTGTGAGGTATGACAAGATTGTTTCAGGGTTTTTTTTGTATTTTCAGTTTCTGTTGCATTATTTTTCCTGTTTAGTTTTTTTTTCTCTTCTCCGAAGTTGTAATTTCATAAAAAAGAAACAAAATATAAAAAAGAAATTCCTGTTTTGTTGGTTGTAAATTCCTCCTGATAAAAGGGGACGGACAGCTGAACAGACACACAGACAAACAGATCAGTTGGCTTAACAACACAAACAACAAATGTGAAAAAGAAGTGAAATATTTTCTATGTTACACTGCACGCATGGTCAAAAAGTGACTACAGCTGTTTTTTTTTTGTTTTTTACACAGAGCAGTTTAAGCATAAAAAAAACCCAGAAAAATAAGAAAACAATGATAAAATGAAAAAATCTCCAATTATTTTGTTCAGGAGTCTTTTTTTAAAAAGTCATTTCTTTTCATTTTGTTTTATGGATTTATAATCATTTCATATATCTGTTTTTCTTAATCTAAATCAGACTCAGAAGGTAAAGCAGCATTATAACCCCTTCTGTCACACACACATACCCAGTCAGCTCACGAGAACAAAGGACATCAATAGGGATTTTTTCAGTTCTTTTACAAAGATGTGTTGGAATTCCAAACCTGCATCTCTAGAATGCAGGATCTCTTTCTGATCCTCACCATTTGAAAGTTGGAGGTTATCCTTTTGGAGGGAGCTGAGGGTTAGATTTGGGGTTGTCAGCTTGCGTCGGAGCAGGGGCTCATATGGTGTTGTTGAGGGAACAGAAGGGGAGACTGTACATATTCGTACATCTCCGTCTCCCCTTCCTCTGAATGTTTGTTAACATTGTCTCTACAACAGGCCACATTGCCTTCTTTCACCCATTTCAATGATGGTAGTGAGGGTTGAGGCCCTCAGCTTTTTGTTTCCTGTCCCATGCTTTCTTCTTCTCTCACATCCTAACATTCTCACGCTCAAGTCTCTTGTTCCCATCGGTGCTGCATATCCGTTCACATTCATCCGTTGGAGCCACACTAAAGGGCAGTTATGGCCATCCTTGTCTGACAAGGAGAGGCCTGGATCCCGTTTGATGTAAATGATTCTGGGCCAAACTGGGGGCATCCCACTCAGCACTGAATAGGTACGATGTATTTGGGTGCTTAGCGAAGAGGAGAAGGGGAGAGATGATGATGATGATGGAAGGGAGGCTGTTTGGAGGAGGGCTCTGAATTTGAAAAGTCACTGGGCTGACTCCGCTATAGGAAGGATGATGGGAAAATGATTACTACAGGGAGAATGAGTAAGTGCTACACAGCCCTCCTACTCAGGGATCTCTCTCCACCCCAGGTTGGGCTGGTAAAGGGGTGAGGGTCATGTGCTGTTGGTCTAATACTGACAACGGGACAGGTTTGGGACTGAGCCCACTGTAACTGCCAGCCTCTGTTACACAGAGCAGCCACAACTCCAAAACTGCTGTTTTACACAGAGCAGCATTGAAATTAATGTCATCCAACAAGGGGTGTTGGTTAAACTCAAGTCAACTCAATTGTATTTATGTAGCCCAATATAACAAATTACAATTTAAAATCTGTACAGCATATTAACACTCTGTCCAAAGACCCTCGGTGTCCATGAGGACCCCACACCCCCAAAAAACAAACTTTGATGAGTAAGGGGCTAAAGGGAGGACTGCTGCGGTAGTGCAAAATCTCCCACCAGCCTGGCTGGGTGGGCGCTCTTATAACGGTGATGGGGTGTGATTAAATCTGAGCTGGGCTCCAGAAAGGGCATTCTCATGGGCGAGGGTAGGGTAGGGCATTTGGATCTCTGGAAGTGGTGATGATGCCTGTGAAGGGGGTTGGAGTCAGACCAGACTCCACCATTGTGGCAAAGGAGGCGTTCCAGTTCCTCTCTCCTCCCTCCTCGAGGCATTACTTCAGAAGTTGAAGCAGTGAGGCTTGGCCATCTGTGATGATTACCCATGATCCCTGCCACACGTTGCTCTGCTTAGATTCTTCTTGGGGGTGTACCAATCCTGTATAAGTGCCTAGTATGAACAACTGCTTGGCATTGAATATAATAGATATTCTTAGTTTCTTTCATTCTCTCCTTGTAAGAGTGGTTAAATCTGGCTTGGCCCCAGAATTAGAATGAATAGAGTGGGCTTTTAATAATTAAATCAACATTTTTGAATAGTCATTTGGCTAGTACCTCGTCATATCTGCCATGGATGTTTGCAGTGAGATATTACTATTTATAGTGGTGAGCATTGGTAACGTGCATGAGACTTAAAGAACTTTTGAGGTGCCTCTGAAGAGAAAGTGTATTTCCATTAAAATAATCATCAAGATCCTATGGCAGGAGGAAACTGCCCTTTCCGTGTATGCTAATTCAACGGGCGTGGCCACCACGGGTTTTCTGTTAATCTATGTCATCAATCATCTTGCTACTCAGTCAGCTGGGCTGCACATCCACATTGTCCTCCATTGCTTCTGTGAGTCGATTTCTGTTTTGACAGAAGCAGGTAATTCCCAATTTCAAAAGATGACACTTGGTCCCATATAACAAAAAGAGATAACCCGAATGTAATGGGTACCATTCCCTGGAGTCAGTAAAACCTTCCAGGGGGATGGCTGGCCCTCCTGTCTTCAGTGGTATTTCATTTCAACCAAGTGATAGCACTGAGGGTGTGTATGTGTGTGTGTTGTGAGTGTTTTGTCTTTCCATGACTACAAGTGTGCACCTACGCAAAAATTATACATATTTGCGTGTTTATCTATACATGCATGGTTGAATGGTGTATGTCTGTGTGTAGGCTGTGGGCAGCTGCCCTGTGTCCACAGAGGTGAGGTAGTGCCTGACACCACAGGGGCAGTATTGCTGCCCCAGCCTGGGGGTGTATCCACTTTGAGGTAAATGGTAGCCTTCTTGGCATTTGCCTGCTCTCAGTGACGCCCATGGTAAAAAAAAGGCTAATGTGTATGGAAGCCTGGAGGGGCCACACTGAGCTGAGTCCGTGAGGAGAGGACTCTGAACAAACCCTGCAGGTTAGGGCTGTATATCACAACACTGCCGCACAGTGCATACAGTAAAATGAGGCATTCACGTTACTCTGAGGTGATGTGTGTTTATGTGTGACAGAGAGAGAGGGGAGAGAGAGAGAGAGAGAGAGAGAGAGTGTGTGTTTGTGTGTGTGTGTAAGATGAGCTTTGCTGTCTTGCTGGTGGTTGCTGCTATTCAAAACCTCCTTGGAGGCTGCATGTGGGAGATTTACTTCTGACCCCTGGCTCTGAATCTACAGTCCAGCTATTAGATCTTGTTTCTTCTCTCTATCTCTGCTCCTCCCTCATATCCCATCCAAGCTTCTCCCTTCCTCCACCCCCCTTTTTTCCCTCCCTCCCTTCAATGCGGTAACTCCTTGGGGGAAGAAGGGCTTAATTGTCATTCATACGACGGTAGGCTGCTGGCACAAGCAGCACAGGCAATGACAAGGCAAGTCTGCTCAAATGTGTGTCTCTTTGTGTGTGTGTGTGTGCGCGCACTGTATGTCACAGGAGCCGGTCCAATGACACAAATGAAGGTAGATATGGAGCCATGGTCTGCATGTTTTTAGGTAGGTAGGTAGACAACACAATTTCATAAAACTGGAGTAGCCTTATATAAATATAGCACCGGTTTCACTGTGATCTACGAAGAAGAAGCTCCAAAAACTGCTGTAACGGCTCAGATTGAGTTGAATTAATTATAAACTAGATCTGGTAGCACTGCTTTACTACAGCCATTATGCACCAGAATAATGCTTAAAGCAGCTGCAGAATTTTCAATGTGCAGTGTTTGCTGATTGTGTGTGCCTGCATGACTGTAAGCAATAATATGTCACTGATGTCCATATTTTCTGAATTACTGCTGTAACATTTATTCAGAAATAATACTGAGAGGTGCTGGCCAGCAAGAGAGCTGGAAACATGGGCTTCAAATGTGTAAATCTGTGACTGCTAAAAAGAACCAGAGAGGGGGAACGGACCCCCGTAAAGAGCTCTGCTCTGAAGAACTGAGGTGGAACAGGCTGTGGCTGTGTGTGTATGTGTGTGTGTGTGTGTGTGTTGTGTGTATCTGTGTAAGTGTCTTGGCAAATGGCTACAACTCTTACTAGATAAGACATCATGCTCAGACAGAAGGGCCCCCACACAGATTTTAAAACAGGGGTACGTATAAGGAGGAGAAAGAGGTGGAGAAGGTGTTCCAAAAACAAAATCCTCTGTTTGCTTGACTCTCCTGTTGCTGGTGTGTCGTTTCTGTTACTGTTGGTTCCAGTTTTTAAACCACATACTGTAAATGTCGGAGAAATGCAGATTCCTGCCGAGAGGACTCTCCCTCCATCCTTCCCCTATAAAAATGATGGCCTTTCCCATCTCCCAGTTTGCCCCAAATTCCTCTTCCCTTTCAGTGGTGGCAACTTCACACTTCCTGATCCTCGAAGACCTCCAGGAAGAGCGGAGGGAAGAGTTCGTTGGGACACTCCACCTTCATGTGAAGGAAGCGGCTGGCGTGGCACGCCCCGATCATCCGCAGGTCTGTCACTTTCATCAGGAGCTTCGGCCAGAAGTGGGGAATGTTGTGCTTGCGGTAGTTGATGTAGTGCTCAAACGCCAGCAAGTAGGTCTCCTGGCACTTCTCGATTTTGTCCATGCAGGTTAGTCCAGAACGGTCTGGTGACAGGAAGAGTCAGTGTGGAAGGAAGAAAGAAAGGAAAGAGGGAGGCATAGTGGAAAGACAGCAAAAGATGAGTGGAAATTTTAGGAAGAGAGGGAGGAAAGGTATAAGGGGTCAAAGACAAAAACAAACAAAAAACAAATCTTTCTTAACTCAAAGAACTGTATTAAATAATTGAAATGATACAGAAAATGCATATTTCATAATTATTCTAATTAGTTCTTAAATATAAATAACAAAAAAAATTCTTACTTTTTAATAACTTGTGGCTACGCTGAGAATTATTACATACTTTTTTTTGTTGCAAAGGCCAGGATTATACACATCCTCTCTTTATTCGTAATCTATTATTTCAAACCCCAGAGAATATTGTGTGACATGCTTCCTAAAACTTTTTAGAGATTCTACAATGAACAAACCAAGAGTGAAGGCTTTTTAATCACATTTAGGATGATCTTTAAATTTCCTCCTTTCAACACTGAATATGTATGTGGACTTTTATCTTCAGGCTATAATTACATTTTGATTCACAATAGGCTACAACATATACTGTGTAAAGCAGCGGGTAATAACTAGGAATATGGACTGTCATGGAATTGTGTCTCCATGGGCACTGAAATTTACATTTACATTACTCCTGGACCACTAATGTTACAAGCAGCCAATTGCACAGAGTAAAGGCACAGTCATGCACAGCTTTAAGTTTGTCAAGTTAAGTCATAAGTTGTTAAGTCAACAACAACCTGAGCTCATGAGCAGCACAGCCTGCAACAGCGCCACCTCTGTGTCGTCCAGGTTGAACTGTGCCAGGCTCTTGCCCAGATCGAAGATGGCGTCCGACACCACCCCCAGGCCGCCGTTCTTCAGTTGCTCACGCTTCACAGCCATCTCCCCGCTCAATGTTAGCGTCTCACTCTCTGGGTCGTAACGCATGGCAGCTCGCAGTGACATGATCTCCATGCAGCAGCCCTTCAACAGGATGATCTGGTCTTCACAAGGTAGCTGGTGAAAATGTTTGAAATACTTGATTAGGCAAGGTTATTCTTATCTAACAATTAGGATATTGAACCCAATTTAACATACTGAGGCTGTAAAAACCATATAACAATTTTTACAAGGAGGAAATTATTGTGTTTTTTCTTTCAGTTCAGAGTTCGGGTTATAGCCACAACATGGCAACACACGGATGTGTAGAAAATGGGAGAGAAGAGAAAGTTTTTGACGAGGAATTGAGAATTTGATTTGACGATTATTGATTCTAATTCTGTTTGCTGATCCTGTATCTTATTGGATCTTACATCAGATTCTTATCACATGATTTATAGGAGTAACTTCAATAGTAACTTTATTTTAACAGCACTTTTCAAAAACTGTGTTTAGAAAACTCTTTTTTTTAAAAGAACCGAAATCAAGCCATAAAGGACGGAGAGCGGGGGAGAAACATTAGGATGGGTTGAAAAGAGGAAGATGTTTTTCTCCACTGATTAAAACAAATTATTACTGACACGCACCGATTTAGAATCTCTGGGTTGAAACCCATTTGATTAAATCGACTCCGGTGTGCTAGTTAAATTTCACCATAATGTAAGCTTGTGTCTTAATTCACTTGACCACTGAGAAGAGCAATTGGCATTCATTGGCTTGATTTGTCATGTAAATTTGTACCTGGAGGGCACGCTTAATTTTTAGTGGCTTGACGAGGCTGGCTTTGTTTCTGTGCATTCTTATCAGTAATTCACTGCAGTGAACAGATCTAATGTAGACTAAACAGGTTATCTTCTTCCACCTCTTTCATCAGCTTAAAAAGGCTTTTTTCATAATATAATATATTAAATTGTGAATAACAGATAACATATTAAACATTAACTGATTATCTGTTCCACTGTCTGGAATACTAAAAATCTGCTACCGTTTAGTTTCCCTTAAAGTTCTCTAAAGTTAATAGAATATCCAGCAGCAGTGTGAGGAATATTCTAGTTTTTACTCATTTGAATAGTAGTATCCATCATAATCATAACATGTGTATAATAATAGAACAATCTGGAAGATTTTTCATTTAAAATATGATGATTAAAAAATTGACAACCTTTGCTTTCGAAAGTATTCTAACCCTGTGATTTATTGTTCTCAAAAACAGCAATGGATTACAGTTCAAATTTGTCCTGTAATTGATTACAGTTCAAATTTGTCCTGTAATTGATTACACACACACACACACACAGACCAGTCCCACTAGACAATAATTCAGCTACCCTGATAATTATCCAATCACACACGGTCTTATTAAAAGCAGCAGGGGCTAGAAACATGATTACACGTTGCTAATTAAGGCACGACAAACAGGAGCACAAGTGCTTCTCTGACTGTCACCAGCATGAAGGCTGCTACTGGCTTTATTTTCTCAGCCAGACATACATTTTCTGTTTAAGTGCTACAGCAAGGTGTAAATGATCAGCATATTAATCTGTGCGTAGTATTTTTTCTATTGCTGCTGCTGATTCAGAAAATCTTCTCTATGTGAAATCGTTTTGACACTCCCCCCCCCCCACTATACTGTTAAGTTGTAAATATTGGTCATAACTCTCGTACCACATGTCATTATGGTCCTCCTCAAACATAGGAACTGCTAACTCTGCTAGACAAATTGACCTCTTAAAGTAAACATTTCCTCAACTAACACACTCACAGGATGGCAGAGGCTTGGCTTTGTCTTCTGTGTTTTTTATAGCCCTTTGTATCAGACAGACTCCCATGCTCGGCCTCTGATCCTCAGGACCATTAACCATCACTCACCTCAGAAAACATGGGCAGTTTTTTGGCAAAGTCGACGACACGGGTGATGGCAGGAGTGATGATCTTGGTGAACTCACTGAAGGCCTCCAAGTCCACCTTGTCTCCGTCTGACGTGGGCGCAACTGGAGACTGGCCGATTTTGTCTGGCTACGTGGGACGATAAACATGGCTGATTAGAACACAGTGGAAAATGACGTTAAACGTAAGCATATGAGTTAGACAGAAGTTAGAGTTTGAAGAAAATACCAAACCTAAGAATGAACTAGTGCTACTAATAAATATTTTAGGAAAAGCCTGAATCTTTTTACTCTGCGCCTTAGAGCTCTATTGTTGTCCAAAAATGATTATTAAACCGTTGCACTGGGTGACATGTTCCTTCAAATCATCAAGGGCACCATAGCTTGAGTTAATCCCACATACACCTGCTACTGTAAAGGCTCACTAGAGCACCAAATGTGCATTAATCCGCAGACGAAAATAGCCTGAGCCTTTTTAAAAAAAAAACAAAGAAACTATATATTCGAGACCCATTTTTCAAGATTCATGAAGTATTAACAGACAGACAAAAACATTGTTAGCTTTGGTCTTTTCATGGGATTTGTTGACAATAAGGAATCCACAGTATATTGCCAGCGTTATCATTTAAATGGAACATGAAAGTGCATATACCAAGAGAGAGTAGGAGAGGAGAGCATTTCTGAGCTGGGTAGAATAAATAAAAGAACAAAGCGCATTAGGAATTAGAGTTCATTAGAACAAGTTACAGTTGAGAGTATGTGTGTGTTGTTAGAACTGAAGAGCACAAAAGAATAAAATAAGATTACAGAAAAATAAGAGTGGTGTGGGGCTTAGAGTAAAATATAGCAGAGGAAACAACACAGTGTTAAATGGTTTTATACCCTTTTTGCTCCATTTTACAAAACACTGGCTTGCCTTGGGAGAGAAATTAAAACCAATTTATCAGATAAGGACAGCAGATTGTGCTCTGTGAAAGGAATGGGACATGTCACCAGACAGATAACGCTTACTTAGAGGAACACGGCAGTGGGGAACCGCAGATCAGTAATACATATGTTTGCAGAGTTGTGTGAATTGAGGCTGTGACTATGAAAAATATTGTTTCACGCTCCACTGAATAAAGCGTGTGTCAAGGCTATCGTCATTTATTCAGGCTGGGCTTCCACAATAAATGGGATGAGATAAAAGTATAGGAATAATCACCTCACACAAGGAACCATCAATCATAACCCAGAGGGAGAAGGATTGCATAAATTTGTACAAATTTAAACAATCCTGTGCTGTGCAGCTGAGAGCTGAGCAATTCTGGAAAACTTAAATAATCGTAATAATAACTTTGATGTACTGCAACTCTTGTCATGCGAGAGACAAAACAAAACATTGGTTTCACTGGTGGAGGTCAGTGGCATTTTTCATTTCAGTAGGGAGAAAATAGCTCTACGGAAAGAGAGCAGCTGTGGTCCAGAACTGCTGAATGCATGCCACACTCTCAAGTGGAGAAGTTTGGAAACGAACCACGAGCCAGTGCAGGTTCAACTATCTGTCACGAGTCCAACTGACACAGATGACAGACTCACAATGGAGTCTTCAACTCAAATCGTAATTGTTTGTAGAGTTTCTTTTTATGTAGCAACTCCTTTTCTCACTTACAGTGGCCCAAAGCCATGAAGATAGTTTAGCTTTTATTTCTCCAGGTTTTGAGATTCAAGAAAAAAATTCAGCAGCAATGAATCTTTGCAGAAACATTTGATAATCCACAGACCTCGTTGTCTATACATATTTTCATAGGTACTATTTCTTTAAAGAAAGATTTTCAAAGTAAGCTATGATTACCCAGAAGAATGGGGGCACAGATTGTTAAACTAATGTTGCTGTTGAATGTTTTTTCAATTTACATTTCAATGCAAACAAAATTCGATTCACCTCCATTGCACTGGTGTGGCAGCAGAACTCTGCAAAAACAAACTAAACTAATCTACATGGCAAATATGTAATTTGAGTGGAATGACACTTAAGATAAACTACCCATGGAAGTGTAATTTAAGAGTGTTTAACCATCCTTCAACTATGTAAGCACATTCATAAGAACTTTAATCTCCATACTATAAATGTTGCTGGAGTTCTGACACTTCTGAAAAACATTTGATATACAAGCAATTTCAATAAAGTATAGATTTGTATTTGTAAATGTTCTCACCATCTCAGGCCTGTGGGGGCTTCATTATGAACATTTATAAAGTGATTTCCTGCAGCTGTTAGTGTTTGTTAATTAACTGCATGGCCATCTGGGTGGCATTGAGGGAAATCACTTGGTTATACCAGCAGCTGGTGACGAATTATGTCTCTGCCGCTCTACAAGCTGGTTGGTCAAGGAGCCTAAACATTGTGGGGAGATAGCACGAAACTCAATGTGGTTTAAGCTTTCTTGAAGACACAATTTTCTGTAACAAACAGAAAAAAAGAAACCACTTGTGAAGTGTCTCAAGAGTCTCAAGACTTTGACATGAACGCCAGTGCACAGTAGGAATTGGCAATTGTTAAATCGGGAGGAGAGGGCGGTGGGGGGACTTTTTTGACTGCAGTCTCATCAGTTATGTTGTGAGCTTCAACTCTCGACCCTTATAAGATGGATTAGTGCTGGAAAGTTTGCTCCAGTAGAGCTGGAGAAGAGAAATGAGGCCCAATATGTTTTCATCTGGTTTTAACACTGTGACTATGAACTGTAAACACGATTAATGCTTTATATGATTAAGATCCATTTTAGTTTTGTTCTATATTGTTTTAAAAAGAAAATATCATTGGGCAGTCATGGGGAACCTCCTGTTACTGCTTAATAAGTGTATAAATTCAAGATGTTTGGAAAGCAAGATTTCTACTGTCTTGTAGAACACTGTCTTGTTGATGCTCATCAATACTAACACCACAATGGGTACTTTGCATGGTGCTGAGATTTTTGACTTCCAAACTCGCCTTTAGTGCAAAAACTACTGCCACTGCATGGCAAGGTGACAAGACCACCATGACTGCAGAACTTTAGTACAATATATAGTTAAACTGAATGTCTGTGTTCAACCACAACCATGAACTGAATCATAGTAGATTTCTCGTCACTAACGACTTTTTTTTACAATTTAGTTCTGAATAGCTGAGCAGAACATTTTAAGCCAAGCGGCTGTGCTGTCCTATTTGGCTAATGTTGGAGAGACCAATAACAAAAGACTTCAGATGAAGTTAATGAGTTCACATCCTGTTGAAAATAGGAGATTTGTGTGATTTGAAAGGCTGCCAGTAGGGTTTATGCTTGGAAAACTAAATAAAAAGCATGGACTGACCTTTATAAGCAAGATAGTAGGAACTAGTTACATAGCATCCTGCATATTAGTAAATATGAGTGAATGAACTTTTCTACATTCATATATCATTTGTATGCTCATTTCATTTGCACATGAAATAAACTGATTCGTCTTGCATCTGAAAACCCTCTTCTACTTTTCAGTCAGTCTGCAGGCCTTTTTATCTATTAGATGGGATTGTTGATCTCGGCTACATGTGCCTGACACAACTACTATGTTTGACATTTACATACAAACACACTACTATGCCTACCGACACGTGCACACACACAGAGATGCAAAAACATTTACAGTCCTGAAAAATCTTGTATCCTTTCAACATTTAAAGTATATTGTTGAATCCATGGGAAAAAAGTGTTTTTTCTAACAAGTAAAGGCTCTGACAGCTTCATCTTATGGGTACTCATTAAGTACTACTACATTTTCTAATTACAAAACTGTTCACTCATGAATTTACAGTCCAAAGTGCATCATTCAACAAAGCCATCCTTCAGTGCATAGTCATTTGTGAGCTACAGTACAGAGTATGAGGAGTGGTGTCCCTCACTGCTGCTGTTTTATAGCTGTCGTCCTCATAGGACTGAAAAGGCTCATCCTGGTTGGCTTAGCATGCAAATTTAGATATTCAGGGTTCAGTGGCTACAGCCTCCAGAGCCCCATTAGAGGGTGAAGCCTGTGTGAAATAGAACTGTTTATCCTTTTTAGATGAAGCAAGCTCAGGGCTAAGATATACAGTTTTCACAGTAGCATGGGTCACTGTGCTAATCAGTCTTTAAAGTCCTGGTTTTTGCAAGCCCTGCTCTAGAGACAGACTTTTTAACTTTTGTAGGGTTAATACAAATGTTTGTTAACCTATATATAATAGACTAACCCTTGCCTACTCACTGTAGCCTTAATCCTAAATGTAAGTCTTCATTCATGAAGAAGTGAGGACAAAATTATCTCACTTAACACAACAGACAAAAAACATCATTTATAAACTGGATTTCAAATTTTCTAATCTGGCCTCCTTCCCATCACACCCGTCCACATCCTTCTGGTTGTCAAGTCCCTCCACAATACTTGCCACTTCACCACAAGTGCTTTCAACCCCTCTTCAGATGAACACCCACGTACACCTCACATGTCCCTAACAGATTTTTGACAGAAAGATCCTTGATTTGGCCATGAGCTCTAGTCCAGTGCTGCTCTGAAATTGTTCAGGAGTGCTTAAAACTGGATAAGCACCTCAGATAATCTTCGGCCAAAACATGAGGTCAGTGTCTGTGTTTGTGTGAGACTGGGATAGACTGATACCAGGCAGGGATCCCCTGACAGGGCTGTCCAGCATAAATCTGATTATTTGCGCAGCAGCAAGACAGTTTGAGAGAGAGAAATTCTGACAGCCAACATCCATGCCAACTTGCAGATGAGTGCTCAAGACTCAGGATTTGCATTGGCTGAGATAAGGGGAGAGCTCGTTGAAAACAGATGGGAAAAAGTAGAAGGAAAAGTAAGGGTAGACACTAAAGGACAGTGAGAGAGGAAACAAAGAAATGAAGACAGGAAGAAGATTAAAGCAAAAAAAGAGAGTCGAGGTGTGAATGAAAACTATGAAGGGAATTAGGTCTGGTTAAGAGCCCAGAAGGATTAGGATGAATAAACCCAAATGCTAGAGAGAACTGCGAAAAACAGACACAGGCAGAGAGAGAGAAGCAGAAACAGACAGCTGGGAATACAGAGAGATAAATTCATAAAGAGCTACTCTGACAGTCAGGCATGTGAGGAAAGAGCCTCAGTGCACCCAGATGAAATTAAATCCTTTCTGACTTTAGCATGCATGTTTATGTAAAGACACAATCCATACTGTCCTGTTGTTAGGTTATGATGGGGTTAAAAGGAGAAAAATGGAAACACAAACACTACGCAGCACCACAGTTTACAGTATGACATTACCCCTGTGGCAGTTGTTTGTTGAGTATTTTTGCACTTAATAGGGTTCACGATAATCAGATATTACTGCAAAATCAACACACCCCGAGAGCTTGAACAGCAACAAACAACAAATGGTTACTGTTGTTCTATGAAGCATGGATTGGTTTTGCACAGCGGCGTATGTGAAGAACATAGAGGATCGTTAAGGTCTGTCACAACTTGGATCTTAATTTCTTAGTTTTGGTCAATGCTTCTATCAGGTATGACACCATTGTACACACCAGATTAATAGCTGAGATCTGGGAGAGCTGCCCAATGAAAAGAAGTCAGACGGGGCAAAAAACACAAGTGGTGAGACAATCAGACAAACCTCCAGGTAAACCAAAATTATTTGGAAGAGAAAATTAAGGCGAATGGTAAAACTGCGCATAGGCAACACACACATACTTGCCATAGTCTAGTGTACACACAGTGTTCCTACGCAATGAGGGATTATTTCTGTTTTACATTTTACCTCCAAAAAAGTGGTAGATATCTGGCTAAAGTGGAGGCTTCTTTACAAACTGCCTGATTGTCTGACCGCTGTTTTGCGGATCAGACTTTGTTGGAGTGATCGGTGTTTTCAGATCTCAGGGATTAACTTGGTAAGTAGAGGGTTATCATAACAGATTGAAATGATTTTCAGAGCTATGAAAATAAGACCTACGTTATCCTTTAAAATCTGAATTAGATGCTTGGACAATGTATCAGAACTTAACTTCAGTTCAAATTTAAAGACTGTTTTCTGTAGACTTGCTGCATGTGATAAGTAATTGTTTGTCTCTACAGTGCTTTGCCTATTTCTCCATGTCTTCTTACCAGGAATTTGCGCTTCTGTTTCCACTGGGCGCCCTGAGCATTGGTGTGTCGGTGGGCCTCTGTCACCATGCGGATCAGCTCCCACTCGGACCCCGTGGGCTCTGGACGGTTCTGGAGCGTTTTCACCATTTCCTCCTTCTTGCGTCGCTCCCTGTTCTCCTCAATCAGGCGCCGTTTAGCCACCCGCTTTGAGTCATCCAGTACCACTGGGACGAGAGGTGTGGAAGGCACAGGAGGAGGAAAATGACCCATAGAAAGATTGAGTGTCAATGAAAATAAAGTACAAAATAGGTATGCAATTAGTTTGCATGTTGCCTAAAGTTTGCATATCATCTAAAGTTGCATAAAGTTTCTATACAAACCTTCTAGACAAAGTCCTCACATCGTTTATCTCCCCTGCATTACTACTGCATCACTAATTCTTCTTGACACTTTGTCTAAGAGCACAACAGTTTCAAAATGCAAAATGAAAATGTGTAATTTTAAATTCACACACAAATAACTTGTGTGTGAGCTCATTTGCAGTTGTGTATGAACATGTAGGTGCAACACTCACAGTCCATGGCCATGCCCACTGCAATGCACTTCTTGAAGCGACAGAGCTGACACTGGTTGCGGGTAATCTTGTCGATGACGCAGCAGCCATCGTACTTACAGGAGTAGGCTGGGTGAAGGTTCTTCTGAATGGTCCTACGGAAGAAACCCTGGAGACAGACAGTAAGTTAGAAATGGATGGACAGAAGTTACAGGTAGAGTGACAGTCATTGATGTTTGTGGAAAGAGAAATGTAGAGAGAAAGAGGGTAAAAGGGAAAGGTAAAAGAATGAAAATAACTAATGAAAATGTTTGACTATGACGTCGTATTGTGTTTTGTTACAGTGTGAATAACAAACTGGCAGCATTTTAATTACCACTGCTGCTTCTTCTGTGTGATAAATCTAATTCAGAAATAAAATCTTCAATCTAAAATTGGATCTAATTTAGTCGGTATGTGACTGAGGCAATTTGTTTAAATGTTAACATCCATATACAGTATTTTAATTGTAGGAAGGCAATACTGAATACTGTGAGATGAACAAATCGTATTTGGAAATGAATTTTTATCCATAAAATAAGCCTCAGTGTTACATTCACAAACCCTTCTGTGGTGTCTTCCATATCACATGTCACTGATGAACAAACATGAACAAAAAAAAACAGAAGCAGACGGATCAAACAACCGACTAACAGCAAGGAAGACAAATGATGTGAAGACTGAGAACTGACTTGACAGACTGACAGGTTTTATACAAATAAGATGATATATCCTATTTCCGTTCCTGTACACACTGTGTCTATGGCCTGTGTCAGATTTGTAACTGTGTGTAGAAGAAGTTGACCTCAGAGGCCTCATATCAGGTTTCCTGGCAGATATTATGTGGGTTATGAACCTGCTGTGTCTAAAACTCCGGGGTTGGGTCGTGTGTGTGTGTGTGTGTGTACCTTACAGCCCTCGCAGGTAATGCAGCGGTAGTGGTAACCTGTTGCCTTGTCACCACACACCACACATGGCTCATCCTTTTCGAGGTAGCTGGGAATGTACCCTGAGAGAGAGGAGAAGCAAAGACAAAGTTAGACAGAATTATATTATGTATTTTTCCTATGTCCATCACATCAATATACAGCATTGGTATCAAATCACTCACTACTCTGCTACAGTTACATCAGAACATCCACCCTATACACAGCTACACATTATTTCTACTCATCATTGCAGCACGCTTGGAGACCGAACCATTTCTGCTGATTCAGCCAAGCTGTGGAAAAACTTAACAGTAGCTATCCACTGTTCTTATACTGTGACATAAACACAATGAAAGCTAGAGTCGTGAGCTTCCCATATGATAAATAGGAACACTTTATCATTTTCAGATGTCCTATGTGATGGCAGTTATTTTCTTGGCCAATAAGAAGCTTTGAGATCACATGCAACATGTGAATCTTCTGAAGTAAGACAGTAGAAGGATATAGTGACCTAAAAAGGAAGCAACGTTAGGGGCAGTGGTGTTCCTGTCATGTTATGGTGATACCTGAACATAATTTTGACATTAACAAGAGTTGGAGGCAGTTCTCTACAGCTGTCTAGCGACAATACAGCAACATTTGACCTGCAGCGCAATACCTGTAGAAGTCCTATGGAGCTATGTTTTAAATCAGTCCTCAGTTTGTTTGTATCTTGCAGGTGCACGACATGATTGCCGATGGTTTTAGTTGGAAAAATGTAGCATTGCACCAGCAAAGGCAGTGAAGAAGACAGCTAGCAAAACTGGATGAAAATAATGCACAATTTAAAATATTTAAAAAAATGTTTTACGAGGAGGAAAATGCATTCAGCATATTTATCACGCCTCAGGGATACAAACTATTTTAATTTTGATAAGAAACAATTTGTTTACAGGAAAACTCCAGAGGGCACATTTAAAGGTCTGTGGCTTCTCTAACTCATACAACGACAGAAAATTCAGGACTAAGACTCATTTAGTCTATTCTACCACACCCATGCAATGTCTCTATCCCAAACAGGACTTTCACTGCAAGTGCCTCACTTCCTTCACTGAACCTTGTTTAAATAGCAGAATATGCGATCCAGATGCAAACAAAAGCGTATCACAAGGTGACTAATTAAACCAACTAAACCAAATTTAAGTCTTAATTGTTTTCTGGTGAGGTTTAAAATATATACAATGTTTATAAACTTTAGATTAAGTCAGGTATTTAATTTGAATTATGAAAGGTGGAGAAACACACAAAAAGCATTTTTTAATTATTAACTCATCTTTATCAATTACAAAAATAAATATACCTGAAATCATCGTGGTCACAACATTACTGTTTGGGTTACATAAACATCAGTGCTGGCCGATCTATAGTTTCAGCATTTCGATTGTTTTCACTCACTGTACTCTGTGTTCCTCTGTCAGTAGCCTTTCAACTGCTTTAAACTTGGGAATAGGACAATTTGTTCTTTTTTCCATACTGCCTGCAAGACCAGTGAGACTAAGGGAATGAGCACAGAGACACAGGCAGTAGCAGATTCCCAGCCTTTTCACATGATATATAGCTAAGAAACTGGGAGGGGGAGGAGATGGTACACTGCAAGTCACAAATAATCATACAAACGTGGGTGGTTAAGTCTGAACACACACACACAGCCATGGCAGATCTCTGTACATACATGTGTGACGTTCTCATGACACATATGCCTGTGTGTGTGTGTGTGTGTGTGTGTGTGTGTGTGTGTGTGTGTGTGTGTATACTAAGGCGTGGTGAGAGCTGTGACTGGCAGTGTCAGTTGCTCTGCCTTTTGGCTTTGTTACAGATTTTAGTGGAGGAGGGGGAGGGCAAGAAGAGGCTGGTGGGAAGAGAGGACAAAAAGAGGAGGACAAACATGGGCGAGTGCCAAAGAGGCACAAGTGACATTTTGGCCAAATTCTTTTTCATCTATTGTTGAAAAGCTCTTGAGCTATTTCTGTTTATAAGAAAACGCATGTGAAATGAAAATACGAGGAAAAGAGAAAAAGGCAACACACTCAAGGGAAAACTTATGTGAAATATGGAAAAGACAGCTCACAAGTGCATTTGCACACATAGCAGTGAAAAAGAATGACACTATCCTGGAGAGAGAGAAAACAAGAAGACAACAAGAAAATAATACAATAGGACTCAGGGGGAGAAGACATGGTGGGGGTGGGGATAAGAGGAAGAAGAAAAACAGGCCAAAGCAAAGACAACAAGGACATCAGAGAATGATCATATAGGAAAAACGTCAGCTCCAGTGTGTTGGCAGG